CAGGTTCGTGCAATGGCGACCAATTCTGACGTTTCTTCGCCATTCAAGAAAGTCCAGATTGAGAGAGATAACTCGGTAGGGTTGATTTTTTGTTGGGCTCCATCGTTTGTCACAATTTGTTGAAGGAAAATGGTGTTCATTTCCTTTAGTTAGGGTTTTATGATTAGTTTAGACTCGTGGTGAGAAAGATGGAACTTTTAGTTAATTGAGTTTGAATATCTGCTTGTGTACAACAATCATTTGTCTGTTGTTTATAAATTTACTTCGATTCTGTTTTTATCTATCAGAAAAAACATCAAGAAAGGCTAGAAAGTGATATCTATGTGGATGTAATTTCACATGTACTTCATTTTGTTTTATGGTGTCCAATGAGTACGTTTAAGCTCTTGCATTTACCTATGTATGTTTTTGATAATTTTTCTGAATGGAAAATTTGTTGAGTAGACATTTGATGCCTATGTGATCGGGAGAGATGATGCTCCGGGGATTGTTGTGCTTCACGAATGGTGGGGTGTTGATTTTGAGATCAAGAATCATGCACAGAAGATTGTCGGGTTTGATAAGGGCTACAAAGCATTGATACCAGAGTAAGAAACAGAGTATTTGTCATGCAAGTTGAGATTTACCCTTTTTTTTTCTGATGTTTATTATTCTATTCGTTTTATGGCTGTAATTTTCTCTTAAGGTATTCGTAGTTGTCTGTTTCTTATCCTTTTCCTTTTTTTGTCAATAAGCTTGTACAGAGGGAGGGTTGGTCTAAACGCTGCTGAAGCTCAACACTTGATGGATAGTCTTGACTGGAAAGGCGCGGTGAAGGATATTGAAGCCTCTGTCAACTGGCTCAAGGCAGAAGGTTCTAAGAAGGTGTGTGGCGTTTTATAATGTCTAAAGTACATAGCTGTGGGGCAGAAATCTATTAAGAAGTCCATAGTCGGTACTAGTTACTAGTGCTTTAACTTTCTCTTAGTTGTGTTGAGAAATAAGCATGTGTTTCTATTGGTGTAGTTTCCTGTTATTTTCCAGTTGACATTGTGCTACCCGATGCTCGACGATTTTGGGGTCGAGGCCGGGCATATCAGGTTATTTTCCAATTGACATTGTGCTAGGCGATGAAATTTCTCAATGTATGATGAATCTTCCAATGTGAGAAAAAAGAAAGTTCGGAACTTTAGCATTATTTCCTTATAACCATGAATGCTAGCATTAGGTGATATACATAACCTGCCACCTGTTCTGTTGATGATTTGAATTTTCGATTTTATCCTATGAATTTATTCTATGCCATATTTGGAGTTGGAAAACTTGTATTGCATGAATAGTTCTTGGAAACTACTTTTACATTGTGAGGACCCTCAATGAATCTATTTCTAACCTAGGCCATTTCTTTCAACTTAGCTTATTTTCGAGGCGATACGGCTCTATGCACTGGTATAATTCTTGTTTTACTAATAAGATTTGTTATAGGTTGGTGTTACTGGGTTCTGCATATGTAGTGCCCTAGCTATTGCAAGTTCAGTATTGGTTCCGGGAATTGATGCTGTGGTATCTTTTTATGGAGTGCCTTCGTGTGAACTTGCGGACGTCATCAAAGCTAAGGCACCTGTGCAGGCTCACTTTGGTCAACTTGATACCTTTGTTGGGTTTTCGGATGTTGAGGTATGATTGTTATATATTTCAGATTCTTTTGTCTTCCTACGTGATTCTTTCTTTTTATAATAATTAACACGTAGATATTTCAGAACATTCATTTCCTGTCTATATTCTTATATTGAAAGGTTTCGAGATATTGTGGTTGAAGTTTCTTGATAAATTTCTATAATTTAGAAGCAAACAACTTTTGAATTCTAAGTCCTTTTGTATTCAAACTTGATTATTTTAATTTAACGAAACGATTCTCAATTTTCTTATTTTTTTCCCTTTAGCCATAGTTGAATGATTTCTGAATACGTAGTTCCTCGTGTTACAAACTGGCTCTTAGCGTATTACACAACCTCTAGAAGGTCAAAACTTCTCCAATAACTTATAGACGCTTCTACTGTCAGTGTATTATCATCTTCACTTGTTTGCCTGAAACAATGATTTTTTTGCTTTATTTCTATATTGGGCTTCGCGGAACTACCTTTAAAATTCTCTAATAATTTTTTAGCCTTTACCAAATCATGCCTCTGATATAATTTCATCTCTTTTTAGCTACCAATGTACTATAATTAAATACTTTATTGCAATAAGCCGTGTTCTAGAAGTCGCTAGGCGCCCGACTAGTGCCTAGGTGGGGCCTAAGAAATTAAGATTAAATACATTATTTTTATTTGTTTTCACTACCTACAAAATAAAACTACCTCAACTTATAATTAATCCACACAACCAAAGTTTAAATAATAATATCAGTATATTATAAAGAATTTATAATAACAAATAAAGTAATTAGTATTTAAAAAAAAAATCATAAAAAATTGCCGCCGAGGCCACTTTGGAGCGCCTAGGCCCGCCTGGCCGCCAAGGTGCCGGTTTTTTTCAGCCAATTTGTGAGGTGGCCGTCTAGGCCGATTTTTAGTACAGTGGTTATAAGCGGCAAATGTACATGTATACCTGTATATGGCATTTATCTTGATTTTTTTGTTCTTTTTTTTTTTTTTCTTGGTACATAACTTTGTATCCAGACTGTAAGGAGTTTACAATATGAACTGTGGAGAGCTGGTGAAAATTATGAAAATGAGGTGTTCGTCTATAAGGGAGTCGGGCATGCCTTCATGAACAGGTCCCCTGAAGCGATTGAGAGAAGGAAAAGGATGGGAATAAATGATGAAAATGCTGAAGCAGCAAGTAAGTTGGCCTGGCTCCGTTTTCGTGCGTGGATGGCTCATTTCTTATCAGGCTGAATTGATGCTTTTGCACTTAATTAGCTAATGCATAATTATAGAGTAAGCCTCTTTTTGTTGTTGACATTACCCGTATATGTCCATATTAATGCTTATTGTTGTGCACTTAATTAGCTAATGAGTTCATGATTTTTTGAAGCTCTTGACTCAATGATTTGTTTCCTTTAATAGCATTTATTAATTTATGATTTGAAACTACTCTCGTAGTTTGCTTCTTAATTAATTGCAAATAAACCAGTATGATATAATGTAGTTTGCTACTTAATTAATTGTAAATAAATCAGTATTAGTACGACGTCCGTGAACTACACGATTATTTCATAAAAAAAAAAAACAAAACTAATTATCCGATAAAAATAAAAAATAATTGAAAATCATACTGTGAAGTAAAAAACTATAAATAATTTTAAAAAAAAAATATTTTTTAATATTATTTTGAATTTTAAAAAATATCTCTATGAAGTAATTTGTTCTATTCCATATATATTCATTTTTATCAAAATTAAATAGAACAATTATTCGACACTTACTAAAGCGCTCGTGAACAACACGGGTGCTTGAAAATTAAGTATTTTTCAAAATAAATAAGTGAAGAAATAAATATTTAGAACGATAAAAAAATTAAATATATAATTAATAAATAAATAAATAATAAATTTTATTATTTAAAATAATACACATTTTTTTTATTCAATTTATCAAATGATAATTCTTTTTAACACCACACACACATATATATACACACACAAACACACACACACACACACACACACACACACACACACACACACATATATATATATATATATATATTTATTATTTCCAACTCAACAATTTGATTTAATTATTTTTTCCAATTTTGATTATATTATAAATTTTATATTGGATACATTTTTCTTCCCTCATCTAATATTTCTTAAAATAACTTCGACTTTATAATAATAAATAATTTTAAATATTATGGGTATGAGATTAAACTTTATGAAATATAATAATTATTTTCAGTATTCTAATTATAATATTCATTATCTATGTATTTTTTATTTAGGTTGGGACATAAACTTTTAGAATATTTTTTTTTTTCTTAATTTGATTTTTATTTTTTAATTCAGATTGATAAATAAATATAAATTTTGTTCTTAAGGATAAATATCATTGTTTTGTATTATATATATACACATTTAATATACTATGGATGTCAAATCGAAGATCGTTACAAGATAATTAATTTGATATATCATATATGAAAAATAAAATACAAACAAAAATGTTATAAAATTTTATAAAATAAGAAGAAACATTTATAATAATCGATGTATGAGTTAAATAAGAAAAGGAAATGTAATATATGGCAATGAAGGAAAAGGAAACATAAAGTAGTTATGGTAACTATGTGTAGAAGTAAAGAAGGAAATTATGAATAATGGATGTAATATGAAAAATATAGATATTAAATGAAACTCGAGCATAATTATTTTTTTATACAAAATATTAAATTTATATCCAACTTTGACTCCGAAGCATGATTTTTTGCCACATAAGATGTCAAAACGTGAGAGTCTGCCACTTAAGCTCAACGCATTCTGAAATTATATATAAGAGATAACATAATGAGTAGTGAAAGACTCAAGATTTGAAAAAATTGTTTGGTTAGTATTGTTGTCTTAAAAAATATTGACTGTTGCAATTTGCATATAAACGTTTTTATTAGATCGTTTGGTTATAAAATAACATTATTTAGGTGTTAATCATGTCTAAATTTCGAAATTGTTGTCATAATAGTTGACCAACAAGATTTAATAAATTGATTATCATTCAAATGTGATGATCAAATAGTATAGGATTTCACACTTAGCATCCTAAAATTACCTTAGCAATAAAATAGTTAGTGTGTATACGTTATGATGTTTTAAGATTTGTCTGAGTGAAGGCTCTTATCGGATTTTTCGACCCTTGATGAAGATAGGCGAGCTTTGACATATTTTTTTCCAGTTATAACATAATATTTTAAGATTTATCATGTTAAGAAATCGAGCCACGCACGCGTAGAAAAGAGAATTTGAATTTGTGAAGTTATTAGGCTTAAATTCGGATATCTTGAAAGTTGATTGTTCTAAAATCCTTATAAATCATGTGTTTGATGTTGGTTAAGCTATTGCCAATTTAGAGTTCATGTGCTCGGTCATGTTGCATGTGGAATTAGTCTATTTTGCTCGTTTGAGTCACGTTTAACTTTCTCCGAGCAAATGCCAGTATTTCAGTATCAAAAGGCATGATTTATGTTGTAATTGAGTTTGTTCTGAGAAAGTTTTGAACTTGAGTTAGTTTGTTCGAGAGTTTTTTTCGTAGGTGCCAAATAGGCCCTACCGGGCCATTTCAGTTTATAGTCGAGATCTCTCGGGACTTTTGTGCATTTTTTTAGTTAGATAAGTTGTTTTGAGTTGAATGATGTTGCATGTCCCGGAGTAAGTCGTCGGACGGCCGGTAAGTACGGTCGAAGTCGCGGGCCGCGCACATAGCGACCGCGCGCCGCGCAGGCTCAGGCATTCAGAGGTTAAGTAGCCTAAACCTCGCGCGCGCCCAACCGCGTGACGCGCATGGCCATAGCATGTCGACAGCGTTCGGCAGCGCCCAGTCAGTGGCGCCAATAACGCCCAGCGAGTGCAGGCAGCGCCCGACATCGCCTAGCCAGCCTCGACGCACACGCCGAGCCCAGCAACTCGAGTACGTTTAGAGGCTAATATTGTTGAGTTTAGAAGTTAACTTAACTTGTCCAGTTGTCACTGGTCGTTCCCAGCAGCACGCTAGTATGCCAGTCGACTCTGGTTGTGCCTAATAGCAGTAATGAGTCCAGTAGCACGCCCGCATGCCCAGAAGCATGCCAGCGTGCATAGTTGCCATATGTGGTGCCCGACAGCACCTGGTAGGCACCAGGCGCGTCAGTGTCGGCGCCAGCAGCGCCCGGAAGCGCCCAGGCCGCACCCAGTAGTGCCAGTGACCGCGCACCCAGCAGTGCCAGTGACTGCGCGTGGTGCAGGCCCTGCGCGGGACCGATCCTAGCCAGCTCGAGCCAGCAGGACCGCCCGACCACAGTGAGCCGGCGGTCCGACCAGTCAGCGAGCCGGCCAGTTTGACCAGTAGTTCGAGTATTTCGAGTATTTCTTGACTTGTACATTTCGGCCTTTGTTTTATTCCGAAATTTAAATATCTTTCCGAGCTGAGTCAGCCAGTATAGTTTTATCTGTTAAGTCTGGATATTATATAAGTTCTGTCGAACACATAGAATGTTCCTTTTTATCCGATTGGAAGTTAGAATCGAGCATTATAGCATCAATTTGAGTATATATCTGAGCATAGTACTTAGAATATTTATTTGCTTAAATTTTTCCAGTTTGAGCGGCCAACCGTTCCAGTTCAACACTTACATTTCAGTTCGAGCAGTACAGGTGGGGACCCAGCCTGTATATTACATTGAGTATGATTACAGATATCATGTTCGAGGTATGTATACAATATCGCTTAGGGTGGTGGTCAGATACCATAAGTCCATCCTAAGTTCCGGTGGTGGTTCAGATAGCCTTAATACTCCACTAGAGTGTGCACATGGTTACCAGCCCAGATTTGCCGGGAGGTTTCAGTACAATTTCAGTTTCAGTTTCTGTACAGTTTCAGTTACAGTTCCAGTTTCAGATTATATATATTGTCGACTATGATATTGTTATTATTGTTGTTTACTTTAGTATAAGTTCCCACTAAGCATGGTGATTTAGTGCTCACACCCCATTATTATGTTTTTCAGTAACATGACAGGTAGGCAGGCGTAAGATCAGCTGTGGTGGTTGTGGTCGTGGACTTGAGCCAATTTGCCATTTTTGTTGGATTCTTATATACATCAGTCTGTATATTTTATTACGCCACAATATTTACTTTCGCTTGCTTTTCAGTTTTTACTTTTCGAACATGTATGCTAGTATTTCAGATTATCAGATTTTACCCGGTCCCCTAATGTGACTTGGGTCCAGTATTGCATGCTTGTTTGATACTCTGTTTTCTTTATGTCTAACCTAGTAGTTAGACCCAATTTAAAGAAAATGGATTTTGAGAAAATAGCATCCCGAGTTTTGATTTCGCAAATTTATAAGTATTTTTAGAAAAGATTTCGCGAAAAATTGATTCTGATACTAGTAATATATTCTCTTATACAAAATAATGTAAATTTTATATTCTCGTCGAAGTGATTCAGAAGTTCAAAGGCGACCTCTGGGCGGACTTGATTTCATGCTTTGGAAGGGGGCGCCCTTGGATCGATAGCTTCAACCTTTATTACATTGTTTGACCCTGAATCTTTAATTTATAATTATTAAGAATTGTTTATTCTCCTCTTTAATTTATAATTATTATTTTTTCTTCCTCTTTTTAAATAGGATCACAATAGTTGTTTCTACTTCCGTGACTCAAACTCGATGTCTATTGATAATATTGTTAACTTAATATTGTTCCCGTGCATCGTACGGGGTACACACTAGTTTGCTATTAATAGTTATAGAATTTGCCATTAATATATCCCACTGCAGTGTACCTGCAAATGTAAACTCTGCCTAGTATGACACGAAAAGCTCTCTTCAACTATAATGGTAACCTAGCATTTTCGATGACATGTTGCACAGAACCGATATTTTGTGAGATTTGTCTCTAATGACAATGAATAGGGCTACAGTCCGAACCATTGCTTATAATACATGCGTGCTGACGAATCAATAGTCAGCTGCAACCACAAGTTCACTTGGTCTGTTCCATGGCTCTTAAGTTGCTTGAGCAACTTCAAGGGTTTCATTGCTTTTCTTTGGCAGATGAGTTGAGGCTTACTTTGGAAGTTTGGGAGTAATAGTGAGAGTACCATCGTGGTTGTGCACGAGGAACGTACGCCTCGACATTTTTCTGGGCCTAAACCACATGGGTCCACTAACCATTTTCTTGCTCTGCACGTCAGGAGGATAAAAACAGGGTGAAAAAGTCTTGTCTCGATTATTGAAGATGCCAACGTCATGGCCACCGTAGCTCCAATTGATCCATCCCGGTGGCGCTGTGTAGTAAATGGAGTCGGGCTTCAGCTCAGGGTACTGATCAGTGTGGATCGCAAGCCCGTTGTTGCACCCGACGAAAAACGCAAGCCCGTCTAGTGAGCAATCCATGTACACAAACAAGCCAGTGTCTGGGTCGTACCTGTGGATATTGAAACCGAGAGTCCTGTAAGGGGAACCGTGATAAAAACCCATCCTCGGCCCACCATAACCGAGTGGTCCCGAACTATCCACCGTCACAAACCGCCTCACGTGGAAGAGATCTCCTGACGGCTCAGCGACCACAAGGAAATTGTACTCGCGCACCTCCTCGGACGAGGTAGCCGGGTAATTCCTCTTATCAAACG